GTAATTTCTAAAAAAAATATTTGGAGGTGTTTAATTAGATTAATAAATTTAGAAAGTTTAAAAGAAATTAAAAAATATAAAATAATATTTTAGGAATAATGATATTTTACTATTTAACTTTTTTAGAAATAATAATAGTATTCCAAAAAAACGAAACAAAGGGAGCCAAAATGTTTAAAAAATAAGAGAAGATACAAAATGATAAAGAGAAACGTTGCGTATAAAACGAGGGAAATGTAGAATGGAAAAGACGGAAGTAGGGCCGATTAAAGATGGAGATGAGTGGTTGTCAAAAAATAATAATAATAATAATAATAATAATAATAATGGAAGCCCCCACAACACGTTGGACTTTGAGAGTAGGCAGTGGGCACTGTGAACCGGCGGCTGCGTTATAAATCAATTAATTAAAATAAAAATTAAAAAAAATGCACAATTTTGAAAATCGAGAGGATTTGTGGGGCCAAGTTGGTGACCAAACAGATATGATAATTCCCAAATTATATTATATAAATATAAATATTAATTCTAGTTTCCACCACCGCCCTACACGTTACAGCCGCCTTCCACTACTTAGATTTTTTTTTTAATAATTAGATTAATGTATCCAAAGCTATTGGTAAATGGTGACACTTCATTTAGCCAATCATATTTTGGCTATTTGGGCACGGAGTCAAAGCCATGACATTCAATTTTTCAAAATTAAGACTTTTGTTTGTTATTTTGCTCTAATTAATTATCATCATCAGCTGCAGTTTTGGTTCATGCATCACTGTGTTTCATTTTTATTTGTATGTGGCGAAAATTAATGCACCAAATAGTCCATTTAATTTGATCCCATTTCTCATTATTATTTCAAGCAACCAAATTATCAAGAAAATTAACCACCTTTTGATCTATTGATTAGATAAAGATTTTTGGATATATTATCAAGAGATTTTAAGTTTTAATCACCTCAATCTCTAAATAAGGATAGTCATTGAAAGGTATATCTGATCGTTAACTTTAAAGCACCAGGAGATGACTATTAGAAGATATACCTGGTCATTAACTTTAAAGCTTCAAGAGATTAATTGAAGTACACGCAAACTGACCTAAACACTTCCAGTTATTAAAAAAAAAAATTATGGAGAAAATCCAAAAACTAGTTTTTATTTACTCTTTTAATTAATATGCTTTGTGATTGTCAATTTGTCATCCAAAGAAAGAAAAATCAGACTTCAAATAAATAAAAACAGAAATAATTAATAAATAAATAAATCGTTTACATGGATATATATGAGATGATAGTGGGTGAGCCCACACAAACGTTCTTCTGCTAAATTTGTGTCATCATCTTCATAAATGATGACTATAAGTTAATAACACTCTTAATTTACAAAAATTAATTAATGATATAAAGAATATCATAACTATTTTTCATGTATATTATTATTTATATTATATATTAATGAGATGTTTTCTTGTATTATTATCTTAAATCTTTTTATTTTTCTTAATTTATATTAACGAAGTGTTTTTGAATTTTAAATCAAACATGTTTTATCTTTTATTAGAAGCAAATGGACCCAGTGATTGAGACAAACTTTTGGTTGAGTGGGGGCAAATTAAAAGAAAAAAATTTAAATATTAAAAGTAATAGATAAAAAATACCAAAAATTGATCATATATAAACTTGAAGCACCAATTGATATTTCTATTTCGTATGAACGAAAAAATTAGTCAAAATAGACGAAAAAATTTAATTTTATAATTCCAAAAAGGTTGAAGAAAAAAAAAAATCAAAACATGGAAAAAGTGGTGGCACAAAGACTTTTACAGAAGAAAAGGGGGCTTTTGTGACAAATACATAATGGAAGGGGATTAACTGAATTCTCCATAAGTCACCCCTTAGTGGCTCCGTCTCTGAATGGACCAAGTTCAATGATCCTCCACATTTTCATAAGTCCAATTACTTGCTATCGTGCAAGTGGGAAGGATGGATAATTAGCGAGTTATCTATTTTATTTCTTCATGTAAAAATTTATAGAAATTGAGTTATCTATTAGTTCTTCTATAACAATTTTGCTGGTTTTGACATATCAAAACATATAGGGCTCCAACATAAAATTGGGAAAAAAAAATAAAATAAAAGAATTTAATTACCATATAAGCTCAAAATTTGAACCTCTTCAAATAAAAAAAATAACAAAATTTTATATTATATGACACATGAACTTTTCCTAGGTATCAACAATAAAAAAATTATATATATTTTTTAATGAAAAAAAAATCTTTTTGACCGATATTGAATTCATACTAAGTAAGACCCTATTGTTTTATTAGAAACCTTATATAAAAGATTTAAATGATAGACACCCCTCAAGTTGATATGATAATTGATAACATAATATTTCCAAGATTTATGAGATAACAAAATCCCCTTACTATTAGTAAACCATCAGAATTTATAAAGTTATGAGTTAACAATTATTAAATAAATTGTCATCTTACTATTTATTTTTACATGTAAAACCTTAAAGAGTTTAATTATTTTATCAAACCTCAAAAGGATTAATGTCATTAAAATATGATAGGTAAAGCGAGATTTGGTGTAAAAGAATAAATTAGTGCTTTTCAATAATTATAAGATAAAGGAGTAGAAACTTAAAGCCAATCCCAAGGAATAGTAAAATCATAAAAAAGGAAGAGAAAATCAAAAAGAAATGGGAGGAAACTTCTTGGAAATGGAAAGCAGAATAGTACTATCAATAACTTCTCCACAAATGACAAAAAACAGAGCCTTATGTTGTTCAATCTCTTTTCGACTAAACAATGACCATTTCAACTTCCACAATAAAATGTAAATAAATAAAGTCATTGAAATCTTCTCCGACGTTGGCTTTTAAGTTGTCTCTCTTAATCAATAACCCAAAAAATCTTTTAAATGTTGAAAATGAAAGTTAAAATGAATGGCTGAGAATACACTATATATAGTCGCTGTATGAAAGACAAAATAACTTCTCCCATGGGTGATATTGATATTGGACCAAGATCAAGACCAAGACCCAGACCAAGACTGTAGAGCAAAGAAACGGACGTCAGTTGTCTGTTTGTGAGATGTGGGTATTAATACTCACAAATAAGGGGGTTTGGGATCATATAATGTTTTATTACGAGGAGATATTATATTAGCGGAATAAAAAATCACCTTAAAAATTATTAAAAATATTTAGAAAATGTTTTTAGCTGGTTCGAATAAATTAGTGAATAATATGTTTGGTTAGGAGGATAAATAGGTGAGTATGCTATATAAATTACTAAATTGTCCTCTTTTTTAAATATTAATATAACAGTATTTTTTATTATTATTTTTTGAATAATTTTTTTAACCGCTACTTTTCAGATTTAGCAAAAACACTCTAACAACCAAAAACGTTTTAAACTTAACAAAAACACTCTTACCCATGCCAAGGCATTGTTGGCAGCCAGCCACCACCGTTGGCGACCACTGGCAGTGCCAAAAATCTAGTCATGACGTCGGCAGTACCACAAATTTGGTCGTTTCACGACCAAAGACCCAGATGTTTCACGACTAGATTAGTTGCCGTTTCACGGCTACATCTTTGGCTGTGAAATAGCCAGATATGGCTTTTTCCGATCATGGATCTGTGATCCATGGTCAAAAAAAGCCTCACCAGCGACAGATCCATGGTTAGAAAAAGCCTCACCAGCGCACGACCGACCATATACGGTCGGTCATACGCTATTATGGCGACTTTTGGCAACCTCCACGCGGCGGTCAATGATGGCTGCCGGTAGTGGCTAGTTCTGGGTATAATGACATTTTTTTTTTAAATAATGACAATAACAAGGGCAATGTCGTTCGAAAAATTTAAAAAGTGAGGACAAAAGTGTCTACATGAGTGATTGAGTGTTTTGTAAATATTAACATATATAAGGTTAATTTGGACAAAATGCTCAACTGTTTAGGGGCAACATGGGAAAAAAATTGCAATACTATGGTAAGTTTTAATAACAGCCCCCCTCTCCGGTATTAAGATTCGCGAAAATATACCCTCCAAATGCTATTGTTTGTCATAAAATATTATGCGAATAATTTTTTACAAACCAACCAAACATCGTCATCTGCTTAATTTAAAAAATATTACCTTAGTTATCTATTATTAACTCGATCCAAACACCCCCTAACAATGAATACATATTACAATGGGGTAAATGAAATAAACTCAAAAAATTAAAATAATTACAAAAAAATCAAACCACCACTAAAATAACATAAGTCTTTTAACCAATTCTCAATTTCTTGATAGCCTTATCTAGGATGATTTATTTATGCATGCTTAAAAGTTAAATCACATATTTGGATAAACCACCACTATGGGGCTTGATGGTAATAAAGTAAAAAGGTTCAATATGGGTTCTTGAGTTCAAGTCCCCACAGACATTAGCAGGGTGGCCACTGAGGAGATTTACTCGATCATTCACTTTAAGGTTTCGAAAGATTAGTTGAGATGCGTACAAGCTGGTTCAGACATCCCAGTCACAAAAAAAAAAAAAAAAAAATTATATGTTTGGGTATTATTACCTGGAGGCCAATTGTTTTTCAAATTGGATTGATAGGTGAAATATCATAATTTCCTTCTTGTAACGGTTTTTCACCGTCAAAAATCATGTTTTTGATACAAATAAAACTTGTGTGTTTTTAATTTGTCTTCCAAAAGACATGTCAGTCAAATGATAATAAGACTATTGTTTTTGAAAAATGTAACACTAAATTGATAATCTGCCTAAAAAAAAATTTAACATAAGGTTTACCTATTTTTCTATCTTTGAGTATTTGTGTTAAGCTGTTATTTTTCTTGTATTCTGAATAAAATCAATGAAAGGGTTATTATCAATTCAAAGAAAAAAGAATATAAATTTCTTTGTATCAATAAACAGATACTTTATTCATCAAATGACCGATAATAACCCTCTTTTAAATCAGAAGTTGACTCCTATAAAGAGTATCAAAAACTCTTTTGATAAAGGTAAATGCGGTCAAATTGATCTTACGAGAATATATGAAATTCATGTCTATCTTGTTGATGTTTAGGTGATCAAGGCATGCAAATAACAGGCGTTTGTTAGCGAGAGACCAAAAGCAACGCAATGTACTTCGTTTGATTCATGAAATAGGCCCAATTTCAACACACGACAAACCAACAAGGGTTTCATTTCATCATACACCAAACACTTTCTTCAGTGGGGCAAGTGACTCAATTGTATGATTTCTTATTGCTTTTATTGTTTACATGTTTCTAATATTATAATTAAAATGATTGTTTGATTCTCTCTTCATAAAGTTCCAACTTTTCGGATTTGATTTTAAGTTTCTGTTTGGTTGTTTTTATTTTCTTTTTCTTTTTCTTTTATCAATTCTTTTTAAATTTCATGTTTTGTAGTGACTATATCGATGGAGGACGAAAATCAGAATGACGTGGCAGAAGTAAGGTTATTACGTTTTTATCGATAGGGCTGGCTAATGAGTGGTGGATTGAAGTGCTGTGTTTTGTTTTTTTAATTTCTTCTGTGAAGCTTGCACCTTTTGATCCTACCAAGGAGAAGAAAAAGAAGAAGGTTGTGATTCAAGATGCTGCAGTCAATAAATTGGATGATAAAACTGATTCATTGTCAGGTATTTGAATTAGAGAAACTTATTATCTGTTATTTTTTCATAAAATACTGTTCATGCTTTACTTTTTTATCCGAATAGGTAATTTGTGTTTATTTGCAGTCTCTGAGGGCCTTGAAAGCACTTTTACTGGTTCTAAAAAGAAGAAGAAGAAACCAGTAAGTTATAAGACTTTTAAAGGGAAAGCTTTAATTGAATGGTTTTTTTTTTCATTAAATGAAGCAGTAATTGACTTGCAATGCTTTATAAAAAATTTTAGGTAGAGGCCAGTATATTGAACGAGGAGACTGGGAATTCTGGAGAAAATTTGGATGTTAAGAAATTGCATTTTATAAATTTAGTGGTCAATGTAGCAGGCTAGCAGTAAAGTTATTGCATGCTTGTTTTACATTGACCGATTTTTCTCTTTAATTTTTTAATCTAAGAAATGCTGTTTTGTTGCCCATTTAGATCGTGCAGGGGAGAATGAAGAAGCAGAAGGGGCTGCCGTGCAACCGTGTTAACCTTGGGAAGGGAGTGATCGTGATTATGAATATGAGGAGGTTTATTACTTATTTAATTGTAATTAATTTTGTAATATTTTATCTCTAGGATAGTGCTTTCTTGAGTGGCCTTGTATGTTTATTGGTGAATTTACAGGTTACAATCAAGTTGAAAGTACATTTTGCTAATTCTGTGTGTAATGCTAAGTTATGTGCCTAATATTTTGTGTTACATCTATGTGCTACTCAACATAATTGAATCTTTTAAAACTTACCTTGTGGCATATGATACTTTAGTCATGCTTGGGCGACATTACATATGCTTCTGGATAAATAAAAAGTGTACACACTAAACATACAGCAAAAGGAGTGAAATCCTTGCTCAGAGGATGTCTACAAGATAAGAATCTAGAAAATGGAAAGCAAGAGTCTCCTATCATCTACTTTTAATTATCTTCAAATTGCCTAGTTTCATTGCTTCCTTGCAGGATTAGAGGACTGTTAAGGTCGAATTTTGTTGCTCCTTGGGATAGTGACTACTCAAAATGCAACCTCAAATGTCTTCTTGTTGTTGACTCTTGAGGTGCTCTTGACTATGATTTGTGTCTGTTGAGGCATTCTTGATTATTCTTCCATAAATCATTTGTAATGATGATCAGATCTTCTGGTAGCTGGTTCCTAGTTTTGCTAAAGGGGTAATCTTTATATATCACCTTTTGGGTGTTCTTAAATTGATCCTCCTTTCTTAGACTTTAAGTAGATCGTGAAAATAGTTGCCCCCTTTTTATTGTTGTGTGAAATTTGTCTGTCCTAGTGGTCTCTGCTTTTGAGGTCATGGAAGGGTCTTTTAGCTTGATGTTTGCAATACACATTAATTTTATTGGTCTTTGGATATTGCTAATTTAGTTTAAACAGAATGTGCATATCTATGGTGGCATAATTGTTAATTTGATTTTAATTTGCTTGTTATATATCTGTCGTGGCATCATATATTTGTTTCCCCATTTTCTGTTTGCAGAAGATACTGATGTTTATTTGTAGTATAGTGTGTACTCTATTTTGGTAAGGTGTTTATACCTCTGTTTTGTTTTTGCTTTTGTCTCCTGCTTGTGAAGCTTCTCGGTAGGCTCTTTAATGTTCTCCGAGAAAATAATCCTGAACTTGCTGGAGATAGGCGTAGAACTGTTATGAGACCTCCCCAAGTTCTTCGCGAGGGAACAAAGAAACTGTGTTTGTGAATTTCATGGATCTCTGCAAGATGTATGTTCCAATTCTATTCCTACTTTTGTTTGTAACATGGTAATACTTTTTCCTTAAATTTGCTGTTGAATCCAGCTTTGTTTTATTTTGTATTTTTTCTCGGTTTGACTTCGTAAACTGCAATTTGCATTAGCCCCAAGGTTTGGGTTGAGTAGTGAAGGCATTATGTCATAATCAAGAGGTCAAGAAACTGAAATTATAGCATGAAGGTGATACTATTATCTGTTATCAATGAAGGTAATATTATATACTTTTGTCTTTTCATTTGTATCATCGGAAGTTTTTTTTTTTTCTTTTTACATACGTATCCAATTTCCTAAAATTACTTTCATCAGTCAGCTAATTTAAAAAAAAAAAAAAAAAAAAAATGAGTTTATATATTTTGTCTAATGAAAAGGGGGAATGGGCATTTCCTTGTGCACAACTCTGCTTTGGTCCACTTTCTTGATATGCTATATTCGACAAGTTTTGTCACAGTGACGGTGTAGGATCCAGCAATAACTACTGGTTTAAACCTTGATGAACATTTGAGAGGGGTTGAGGGATTTTAGGTTATCAAAAAACCTACAAAAGTACATACTGAATATCTTTTTCTTTTTCTTTTGTTCATTGGAAAATATAGCATGCATCGGCAGCCAGACCATGTCATGGCATTCTTGCTCGTGGAACTGGGTACAAGTGGATCACTTGACGGACAACAAAGATTGGTTATGAAGGGTAGATTTGCTCCCAAAAATTTTGAACTGATACTGCGTCGTTATGTCAGTAAGTATCTTGTTTTTAAGTTTTTGTGCCATACATGGAAAAAAATAGTTATCAAATGTGCAACTGTAACTTGGTTGTATTTATTTTTTTTCATTATAATATTTGACATCTTGTACTTAAATGTTTTGGGTGCAAAAGTCCCGACACGGTACTTTCGAAGGAGAATCGTCTCTTCTTTCTCAGATGTGAGAAGGTAAAATAAATTTTTCCATCGGCTTGTGTTAACAATGTGTTACCTGGATGTTACTCACAATTGGACCTAATTTTTATGATTTCATTTCTGCAGTGTGGCTCCGGACCGTCAGTTGCTCCAATCAAAGCTGGTTTTGTTGCCCGTGTTGGCCGGAGGAATGCTGGGACCTGAGCTCCCTCCTATTCCGGTTCTGAGTTGAGGTTAATAACTATATATTAATGATTTTTTTCCCTTTTTCTACCATCTTAACTTGACGTGTTTAAATGAAATTTCATTGTTAGAGCGTCTTTTCTATGGCTATTTTTGATGACTTAAAATATGAAATAAAAAAGCTTAGAATAAAACTTTACTTATTTGTGTAATGCATAAAGTACATAATATGCGATATGATGAGATTATTCGAATAGTGCCCTGAGTGAATTTAAATAATGAAGACTATAATTAACACAAGTGTGAGTAGAAGTGGTATGTTTCTTCTTGTGCTTCCGCTCTTGTGATATTTAGCTGTACTGAAAGCTGCCAGTCAAGCACAAGCAAATAATAAACTGTTTAATAGGTGAGGTGGGTTTAAAAATTAAATAAATAAATGAAGATATATAAAAGAAAAAGAATACCGTGAAAATTGTCGCAACCATCAGTAATGTTGCCACGTATGATATCTAGAATGGCCCCATTATAAAATACAAAGTCATTCTTGACCAAATGAATACAGTCGAGAATATCTTTGATGTGGTCTCCGCAACCACCTGCCTCACAGTAATTCGGTAACTCATTTTGGGATACATCAACAATCCCAGACATATTCAATACGTTCTTGCTTTGGCACACATCTGAAAGCTATTCAAATTCCAATCCAACCCACACCAAATATATATTCATTAACCATAGTGAAGATACAATCAAAATTTGAGAGATAATCAGGCCAATTGACAGGGATGTAAGAACCTCGATCGTTTTTTTAAAAGAGTGGTGTTATTTAAGCCTCATCCAAACTCTTTCAAATCTTTCAAATCAATTAAAAATAAATAAATAAATTTTAATTTTAATTTATTTCAAAATTACCCATTTTCTAATATTTTACAACTTCTTTTCTTTCCTAAAATCTCATGATTTAGAAAAAATTATGGAAAATCCATAAAAACGAACCAAAAACAACATTGGAAAGAATATTTCCGGTGCAAAATCATGACTGAAATATTTTTTCCAACCTTTGTTTTGTTTGTTTTTATGGGTTTGATAACTTTTTTCCAAATCACAAAGTATATTTGAGCAAAATTTCAAGATGGATTGTTTTTAAATGAATTTGTTATTTACTTTGTTGTTTATCATAATTAGATAAATGAGAAGTTTAAAGGATTAAGAAGAAGATAAATTAAAAAAAAAATTAGGAAAGTAGAGAAGTTTAAAAGGATTAGGAAAAGGTTAATTTTGGAATAAGTTAATTGATTTTTGGACTTAAAAAAAGTTTAGGTGAGGCTTAAATAATACGACTACGAAATACAAGTATGAGTCCAAGAAAAAGTTCGGGTTTTACAAACCCGGGCAGGGCCTACTTGGCCGAAGATGAGGGTTTTAAAATTTTACTTAAATATGTGGGGGCTGGAGAATTATTACGAGGTTATTTTTAATTATACATCATTAAAAGAGAGCTTAAGATAGTTTTCAGGGTGCTATGGAATTTTTAAGGGTTTTATTAGATTTTACATGCAGGTCTGTATGTAATTTTTCATAATCTCATATAATATACTTAGACCCGAACTTTTTTACCAAAGCCCGGGCCGGGCCCAGGTGTAATATAATGCCCAGACTGGGCCGATGATGGGCCAGATTTTTTTTAATACCCCTACCAATAGATACCTGTTTACCCACAAGTTTTAAGCTATAAATATTTCATATTTAACCAAAACCTTAAGACAACAGATGGGCCTGGGCGTAATCCAGGGAAAAATTTACCAAAATTAAAAAAACAAAAGATAATAATTTTGGAGATGTTTTTATGAAGATTAGAAGTATAAATGAAGAAGTTAGATACTTTACATTTTGCATGCACTTATAGGCATTTATCCACTTCTGGTAAGGTGCTAAATTGACATTTTTAAGGGGCGAAGGGAAATCTGAATACAAACATAAAGTTTTGTTAGCAAATTGAGCAATTAATACAAGAAGGAAGAGAGAATGAGAATCACCTTTGTCAGCTTTAGCAGAGCAATTCAGGAGAAGAAGACTCCCCATAAAGAGCCAAAGAAGACATCGCCTGTTAATAATCTCCATCCCTTACTTGCTAATTTCAAACTTAATTGATGGATGTTAAAGGGGAAACATTTGAATTTAAATAACTGAAATGGTTCAAAATTTGAGCTTAGATGGGTTTAAGTATATGCTGAGAATATATGAAGCATTTTCCTTTGTTGAAAAAACCAAGAAAATATAGTTTTGTACTAATATGTCGGAAATTAAGAGGTGCAACACTTGTTTTGCATCACTATAATTTATTTCTCATCTCCAAATCATATGATATTATATATTAAGGTCATTTTTGGTGACTATTTTCACGGATCAGTTTTTGGTCATACCGATGAAAAGTTGTGTCATTTTACATTTGTTCTTATGATAAAACACAATATTAATTCCCAACAAATTCTCTTTTGCTTAGAAAACAAAAGCATATTTTATAAAATCCAGATGTAATTGTCACATTACATTCAAACCCTATAAATAATAATATGTTACTTAATTAAATTATATTTGGATTGAAGATGGTGCCTCAGAGGTCTAATGAAAAAAAAAGAGACCCACGTGTTTTAGAATAAAATACTTACACTCTTGTAATTAGAGGTGGGAATTAGGCCCGGACCCAAAAAGCTTAGCCCAAAAAATCGGTCCTAGGATTGGTCTCAAGCTCGGGCCCAAACCCCCCTCTCCAATTTCCTTTTAACCTCTGGAGAATATTCAAAGCCTCCTATTTAATATAAAATTGACAATAAATGTAAGGATTAAAATAGAATTTTACAAAAAAAAAAAAAAAAAAAAAATTGTCGCCCTAATATCTCATGGGCCGAGGATCGATCCTTGATTATTTGGGCCTGGGCCTTGAAGCATCGGGCACAAATTGGGCCTGAACCCACATGTTTTAGAATAAAATACTTACACTCTTGTAATTGATAAAAGTTTGTGAAAAGTAAAGGTGGAAAAGTAACCCCCCCGGCCCGGCCCGCGGCGGGTTACTTTGTTTGGCGGGCCGGGCCTAACCCGCCCGCCAACAAAGGCAGGCCGAGCCCGGCTCGCCATTTTCTCCAAAATGGCTGGCCCAGCCCGGCCCGCCAGCCCTAACCCGCCGGGTTAGGTGGCGGGTTGGGCCGGGTTAGCCCGATTTTCCTTTTTTTTTTTTTTGTTTTTTGTTTTTTTATTTAACTTTTCAAATAAATAATTATAAATATAATTGTTTTTAATTAACTTTTCTAATATCAATAATTCAATTCAATTTTTTTTGTTTGTTAACATTTCAAATATTAATTCAATTTTGATACAATAAAATTATAATATAAGAAAAATTAGACTTATTGGAGTATGGAAATTGGAATTTGGAAAATTGGAAATATGAATTAAAAATTGCAAAAACTAATAAAAATTAAAATATGAGCAAATTGCAAAAACTAATAAATGAATAATTGAGAGATTAGAGATTAGAGAATATGAGAGAATGAGAGAATTTGAGTTGTGAGAAAAATGTGAGAACTTAGGGCCAATTTATAGGAAAAAATGGGAAAGAGAAATGACGAAAAAGACCCTTTCAACGGCTATAAAACGGCTATATTTCAAGGGTAAAGGGGTAATTTGAAAAATAAAATAAAAATTTTTATTTTTTTTTTATTTTTTTCGGCCAACCCGGCGGGTTGGCTGTTGCAACCCGCCGGGTTGGCGGGTTGTAACTGCCAACCCGCCGGGTTGCACACAACCAACCCGGCGGGTTGCCGGGTCTCTTGCAAAAGAGACAAAATAGCAACCTGTCGGGTTGCTGGTTGCCATTGTGCAACCCGGCCCGCCCGGGGGTTGCTGCCGGGTTAGGGTCAACCCGGACCGCCATCTTGGCGGTCCAGGCTTAACCCTCATTTTCTCGGGCCGGGTTAGGGTTGACCCGCCTAACCCGGCCCAAATTTTCCACCTCTAGTGAAAAGTAATGGTTATAAAAAATTCAAGTTTTTATGTATTTAATGTTTTAATTGTTTGATAAATCTCAATATCTAACTTCTTGTAATTGTAGGACAAAAGATAAAATAAGAATACATTGGTCATTGCACCTAAATTTTTGTGTCATAATTAAGTTTTCGTCGATCAATTATAAGAATGTAAGCATTCTATTATGAAACCAATGAATCTCTATGTTGTTTTTCAATAAACCTCAGGGTGTCTATGTTAAAACGTCTGCCGCTTTAATTAGAAAACCCATGAGAAAAATGCTGTGTACATGTGATCAGTCTCTAAAAAAATCACTTAAGATGGACGCCATTTGCTTATCATACATAGCATCTTGCAGTTGTGCTCTAGCTTTATAACTCGACCATACAATGTTTTCATATAATACACATGGCACCTTGTTAGCATATGGTCCTGTGAATTGGGGACCACCTAGTAAGGTTGTGGGCCTATGTCAGGTCCAGGCTCATTGGAGCATTGATCCCATATTCAAATTCCATATTATTATAAAATTTATCATATTCATAGATATGATAAGGTTTAAACATTGATAATAGCCTCTCGTAAAGTATTCGAGATTGATAGTTAGGTCCAAAAGTATATCATATTACAAAAACACTGTTCACTTTATGGGCCCAGCAAATTTTTGTATGGACTTGCCGTTACGTGGACACAATAGGGCAGCATGTCTACATGGCATCAATGTTTAGTAGCCCAAGCCATTGATGCACTTACATGTGCATTGCGAAACCTTCATCTTCGCCCATTGTTAAGTATGCGGCTATGTGCTGTCATTGATGGAATACAAATAAAAGGTACAACGGTGAGTAACCTTAGGAACCATGTGGGAGGTTACGTGTTCGAGTCTTACCAAGCATAAACTGCTGATGTTGCGAGGTTGCTTGAAGGATAGAATGTAGAGGCCCATTTTTGTTAAGTAAGCCTAAATGGGCTTAATCAAGGATTTAACTCCAAAAAGAAAAACAAATAATCTCATAGAGTTGCTTGAAGGATAGAATGTGGTGGCCTTAGTAGCCATAGATAGTGGTGCTCTATCGTCAATTTTGGTCATTAAAAGCAAGGTTTTAAAACCCGACCCAAGGGGTGACCTGTTCAGGTGACCGAGTCATGGGTTAATCGGTTAAATCGACGGTTTAACCAATGGTTTGATAGGTTTAAAATCTAACAAACATACCCTTGATAAATACCATCAAACCCTATAGGTTTGATATTTAGCAAACACAACCCCTGGCCAAACGCAAATCGGCTATCGATTGGGAAAGCGGCGGCAACACACTAGGGAGAGTAGATCGGGTGATGGGGAGGATGAATCGACAGTTGGAAAGTTAAGGCATCGCCGGAAAATGGCAGATTGATGGTGGATGTCAAATGGTCACGGTGGCTTTTTTTGGCGAGATGACTGTGGAATGTGGATCTTCGTGAACGACGGCAAGGGAGTTTGGGAGAAGGTAGATCGGTGGCTAAGGAGGCCTATCGATGCCCGAGAAGGCCGATTGATGCCGAGAAATGGAAGAAAAATTGCTGGACAAAGAAACATCGCGCGACGAGGGGAGGAGATGAAGCTTCATGGCCTCGGAGAAAGTCAGAAGGTGGTTTTCGATAGCAAGGGAAGGGGGAAGGTCGTTGGAAAAGGGGAGGTCATTGCCGATTTGCATTTGGCCAAAGGGTGTGTTTTACTGGATTTGAAACCTTCAAGGACCGATGATATTAATTAGGGGTGTGTTTACTAGATTTCAAACTTGAAACAATTGAAAGGGTAACTCGACCTGAAGAAGGCCTCGGGCCCCGGTCCAACCGGTTAAACCGGTCGAGCCGGTCCGGGTTTTAAAACCATGATTAAAAGTAACGACTTGAAGAGCAAAAAAGTTTTTAATGGCCATTTTTGTCAAGTAAGCTTAAATGGGATTAATCGAGGATTTAACTCCACAAAAACTCCAATACAAGACTTTGGTAAAGTATATTAGGCTTAAATACTCAGATTTGTTCTCTTAAAACCCTTTCAATTTTTCTTTGAAGGCCAATGGACCCAAGCTACTTCTAGGGCTGTAAATGAGCCGAGCCGAGTCAAGTTTTTGATTTATCGAGCTTGACTCGTTTGCTATAGGATTGAGCTTGAGTTTGAGCTCGAGCCTGTCGAGTTAGAGAAAAGGGACTCGAACTCGAGCTCGATCGAGTTCGAGTCGACTTGACTTCATCTGCATCTTTATCTCCATCATCTCCATCATCTGCATATCTTTATCTCCATCATCTGCATATCTTTATCTCCATCATCATCATCATCATCTTCATCTTCATCTTTTTCTTCGTCTTTATCTCCATCATCTTCATCTTCATCTTCGTCTCATCTTCATCTTCATCTTCATCTTCGTCTCATCTTCATCTTCATCTTCATCTTCGTCTCATCTTCATCTTCATCTCCATCTTCGTCTCCATCTCATCTTCATCTTGCAGAGCATCAGGAGTTACGCAGACTTATGCTGCTTCCATCTCCATCTCCATCTTCTTCATCTTCGTCTTCGTCTACTTCCTTAACATAACCATTATGTTGATTTTGATTTTTGATTATGAATACTTGCAAGAACAAATTTAGGGGTTAGGGTTTGTCGATGTGGGATATCTAATTTGAGGGTTTAATTTTGTGTTTTAGAACAAATTACATAGGGGTTAAATGTCGTTTTTACAAATTTTTAAAACTAAATAATATAGATAACACTTCAGTCCCCCACAGTTTATAAAATATAACAAATAGACCCTGCTTAGCCGAGCCATATTAGGCTCGCAAGCCTATGAGCCGAGCCTCCCCATGTTCGAACTCGGCTCATTTTATATAGCGAGCTTGAGCCGAGTTGACTCGGCTAACCACAAGCCGACTCGGCTTGCGAGCCGCTCGGCTTGTCTGACAACTCTAGCTACTTCAACAGGGCAGTTTTTATGGGTTACAATGTAAGTTATTAGAGCATCCAGAGAAAGTTATGAAGCTAAAATATTTCTTTGAATTAGGCCCGCTTAAGCGTTACCTAATTGGATATTTTGGTTTAATTTGAATTTGAGATTTCGGTTTAACTCCATAAATTTATAGTTTCAAATTTATAGTTATTGTTTCTTAAAACAT